ACTCATGCCCACTTTATGTGCGATTTGCATGTTGTCCTCTATTCAAGTTGAGACAGACCTATGGTACAGTGAGCGTCCTATAGTGTGTATTTATATATATATGGACTATTTAGCTATTATTGAGTTGTCTATAACGTATCTGCGTATCGGGTCTCTGTTTGGAATGTAATAGAATATAATTTGTTTGTGGGCCTGACCTACTATTATTTTTTAGGTGTTCAACAGTTCTAGTCTTAGAGCTTGTTCGTGCCGAGAAGAGACAGTCACTCACTCTTCCGACTACGCAGGACTATTCTTCATGTTTTAATTTTGGATTTTCTTTTAGTTCCGTTATTTTATTTCCAGTTGGGATATTATTAGGGGTCCACTGGATGGATTCCCGAGTTGTAATAATATTGGAGGTTTTAGAAATTTCATTAGAGGATTATTTAATTAGTATTTCAAGGATTTGTTATTTAGTTTTCTTTCAGCTTAATTATTTATTTATTCTTATTTCTTTTGTACTCAATGCTTGTTTATATACTTAATTGTTTGGTATCCCTTGGATCCGTTCTCGAACTTGATCACCCGTGACTCTAGAATCGAGGGATATCACATGTAGCATCTCTAGACTCAATTATTGTATTATTTGATATTTCACTAATTTCAGAGTTAAACACTAAAAATCTATTAGCACTATTATTTTGGGCATAACCTAAGAAAATAGCATCTACTATTTTAGGTCCTATTTTTTTTATCTTAGGTTTAGGTATAGCCACTTTTGCTAAACAACCCCCATACTCTTAGGAATTTAATATTAGGTGTTCTTCCTTTCCAAATTTCATATGGGGTCTTTTCATTATCTCCAATAGTTACCCTATTAAGTATCAAACATGCAATGAGTATTGCTTCCTCCCACAAGTTCTCGGATACACCAGAACTAGTTAACATAGCGTTTACCATGTCCAACAAAATCCGATTTTTCTTTTCTGCCACACCATTAGATTGAGGTGAATAAGGGGCAGTAACTTTATGTATAATTCCACTTTCTTCACAGAATGTACCAAGAACATTCCATTAATACTCTCCTCCTCTATCGGACCTAAGTCTTTTAATTTTCTTCTCTAGTTGATTCTCCACTTCATTTTTGTACACTTTAAATCTTTCAAACACCTCATCCTTTGTTTTAATTAGGTATGCATAAGAATATTTTGAACAATCATCTATGAATGTCACAAAGTACTTTTTCCCACCTCTAGTTGGAGGTCTATTTGAATCACATACGTCACTGTGAATTAATTCTAAAAGTTAGGTATTTCTTTTAGTAGACTTAAAATGTTTTCTAGGTTGCTTTACTTGAACATATACTTCACATTTTTGCTTCAAATCAACCTCAGCCTTTGGAATTAAATTTAAATCCATTAATCTTTTAATTTTCTTCAAGTTTACATGTCCTAATCCTCCATATCATACATCACAAGATTCAACACTAAAAACTTGAAGAGAATTCTTATTAACTTTAGAAATTACATTCATCTTAAACAAACCCTTGGTAACATAACCTTTTCCAATAAAAATATTATTCTTAGCAATCACTATTCTATTAGACTCCATTACAACTTTATATCCTTGTTGCGCTAAGGACGATCCACTAATAAGATTTCTTCTCGCTTCAGGAACATGTCGCACATCTTTGAGAATCAAACTCTTTCCAAAAGTCATTTTTAGCTTTATATCTCCAATTCCAAGTACACGTGCGACTGAGTCATTCCCTAGAGTTACACTTCTTCCACTTGAGTTCTGAAAAGTTTTAAAGCAATTACGATCAAAACATACATGTACATTAGCATCAGAATCTAACCACCAATCTCTGTTGTGGTAAGTGTAAATAATAGTTGGATTGAGTTTATACTTTAGTGCAATTTCATTTGAATTTTCTTGATCCACTAACACATTAACTTGAGCTTTAGAACCTTTCTGATTTTGAAATGACTTATGCCTGGGCTTGTACACTTCAGTTTTCTTGTAAAAGCAATCTCTCGCTTTGTGATAATCCTCCCACAGACATAGTAATGTTTATCCTCGTTGCCCTTAGTATTTTTGAATTTATTATCCAGCATCTTCAATTCCATATTCTGCTTCCAAGGCATTCCAAAGGTCTTTGGCACTACTAGTGGTATGATAGACACCATAAAGGTGATCCGATAGTGCACTTAAAATTCTATTGTGGCAATGAAATTCAATTTGTTCAGGAGTTAACCATGAGGACAACTCAAAGTTACCTTGAGATTCTTCTAAGGCAGATGTAAGTCCTAAGACAATTAACCAATATTTTATTTGTTTTTGCCACCTTCAAAAATTCACACCACTAAACTTTTCTGGTTTAACAGTATTAGCCTCTTCCAATTTAGACATATTCATGTTTCCTAAAAAATACAAAAGGCAAATCAAGATATATAAATCTGTTGGAAACTAAAAGAAAGATGTCACTATATAGTTGTTGGAAACTAAAAGAAAGATGTCACTACATAGTTCTATTTTTTTTAAAAAAAATAATATCTTCCGATTCAAGTAACAGTGAAGCATACAATAATAAATTATTTGTATTCTAAACATGACATACAATAAATTTGAAACAAGGTAGAAAATAATTAAACAAATTATTATTATTATTTTTAAACAATAATGTTTAACCTTCAGAATGAGAGATTTTCAGAAAAATAAATCAAAACACAATCTCTTTCTAATTTAAAATTACCCACTAAAAAAAAAAAATTAAATTGGAAACAATTTATAAAGTGACAATCTCTTTGTATAAAGTAACGGTTCTATAAAGTAAGGATTCCATCAGTAACAATTCTATAAGGTAAGGATTCTACTAAAGTAACAATTTGCTTTCATACAAAAGTAACGATTTTATCAGTGTGCATATGCAAAGGTCATATATATATATATATATATATATATATATATATATATATATATATATACAGCAACAATCATAAGCAAACAGAGTATATAACTTAAATCAATAGAATCAAAATTAATTATGGTATGTGAATAACAAATTACCAAATTGAAACAATAGAAAAAATATCTAAGCACTGAACAATAGAAGTTCAAAGGCTTTAGATTTTTAGGGATATTATTTTTCAGATTGTAAAATACTTCTATTTATGGAACGAAAAAGATGTTTTAAAATAGGAGAATAATTATAATAAAATAATTAAAATTTAAAAATAATTAAATAACAAATATAATTGTATCAGAACATAAAACAGATCAGAACACAGAAAGATAGTTATGGCCTGTTAGATGGAGAGGCGTGTAATAAGCTGTCCTAAAGTCTTTGAAGTCTCCCTTACGTGCAGGTAATTACAATCCACCAAAGACTCCAAGATACAACTCCAATTGTTCCCTTTGCGCACAATCACAAAGAAACTTTCACCAAGTTTTGATGTTACATTGCCCCATAATTGAGTATAAGAAATAGAAAATATATATGGTAATAGTAGACTGTATGATTTTAGAGAGAATATGTAGTTTTCTGAGAGTAGAAGAGAACTTAATTATTTCATTAATCTCTCTGCTAAACACAACCTACATATTTATGAACTTTATCATGTCTTTTCGTCAATAAGTATAAACTTAAATATGTCGTTTGGCTAAATCACTGTTAACGTTATTAACAGTTATAGCCTTTAATTTAATTATTATTACCTGCAGTTAATTAGTTAAGGACTTTTGAATTTCTAACCAATAGAAATTATAGAGTTGGAAGTTTTAAAACTTTAGTTACAACTCTAAAAAGTTATAGTCCAAATTTTATATACGGGATAAGGGTTTCTTGTGTTAAAATTTTGGAGTGTGACAGCAAGCAAAAGAATAGACGTGAGTTTAGGAAGACTGTGAGGTTACGGACGCGAATTATCTGAAGTCACTTTGCTCTGCTATCCCATGCGTTGGATTATATTTGGCCATGCCCTTATTTGTTTTAAGTGCCATTGAGATTGCGTTTGAATGTAGTAATTACACAAAATAGCTTAGTCCTTTACCACCATCTTCACCTGCAAAACAAGGTATTCACATAGTGTTGCTTAAATAATGTCACATATAATGTAACTCAATTCAACATATTATTTATGTTATTATTTGATATTAATGTATGTGGCAATTATACATAAATGTATTCACATGTTATTATTTGATATTTATGAAATATTTTTTGACAAAGTTTAATATTAATTGCCACATCACCGCTTTCACCATCAAAAGAAGGTATTCATATGGTACTGAATAACTAATGTTACACATAAATCTAATCAAAAAAATTGGAGATACCGGTCGACGCCTAAGGATTAGGCTTACGAAAGCTCCCAATCGGTCAATGTGTAGCCAGTTCACGTCAACCAAGTCCTGTATACATAAAAAAAAAAAAAAAAAAAAAAAAAAAATCACTCTCACTGTCTCACAACCTTCACCATTAAAAGAAGGCATTCACATAATGCTAAATAACTAATGTTACACATAAATCTAGCCTAAAAAATTGGATATACTGGTCGACGCCTAAGGACTAGACGTTGATCGAAAGCCACCACCGGTCGACGTTGATCGAAAGCCCCTCCGGTTGACGTGGTCCTGTATACATGGAAAAAATAAAGAGGCTAAGACTCTTTTCATTATTTTGCTAAATATTGAGTATTTTGTAAACATTAAGTATTTTGTATGTTGTTTAAAGTTTAGCCCAAACGATTTTAACCTTTGAGACGAGACTCTTTAAATTAACATATAGCAATGATTCTTACACTGCTTTATTTTTTTGTAGTAAAATTTAACTTTAAAAATAATAACATAAATAATATATTAAATTGAGTTAAATTTATGTTTAACATTATATAGCCGACATTACATTACGTGAATACATTATTTTAAGAATGAACAAATACTTTGTATAATTATTACATCCAAACTCCGTCTCAATAACATTTAAACAAATATAAACATACCCAAATATAAGACAATAGTGTGCACTGCATCGGACCGGCTTAATGAGGCTTTGCTCCGGTGCTTACCGTGACCTTTGGCTGTTGCGTATTGATCTAATTTCCGGAAAAAAGAAATATTAATGTGAATTGACCGTGTACAGTATTCTTTTGGGAGATCAACCCCACTTCATTTTGTATCAACAAAACTCTCGGGAATACAAAAAAAACCCAAAACCCTCGATCAAACGAAGAAGATAACAGTAGCAGAGTACCCGAAGAAACAATGAAGAGTATCCCTCTGATTCTGATGGGTTGCGGAGGTGTTGGACGTCAACTCCTCCAGCACATTGTCTCCTGCAGATCACTTCACGCCAAACAGGTATATAGTGCATTATTGAATTTTTATACGGGCCGTTTGGTTCCATGGAAAATGCTTCCAATTCTTTGAATTTCCAAACGTATTTAATCTTTTTTCTTCTTTCCAAAGCAAACACATAAGTTATTTCTATGCAGTCATCATCACCATCACATTCTATATCTGCTTGAATTGTGTGTGTATAAAACGGGACATTACCCAAAATTGGTCCTAGGAGGAGAGGACTCAGAGAAAGACCTAACATTTGGTATTTCATAAAGTGACTGCTCAGATGCTCCAACTTATGCTAGGCAAATGATTCTGTTGATTTATTCCAGTAATTAATAAACTTTTTAAATTTATGTAGCTGGATTTATATTTTCCAACAAAATTGATTTCTTTCTGGCAATGTTATTTTTACGTGGGATCTCGACCAGGAACAATCTGTATAAACCACCTATTTAATTATTCCCTCAACTTTTTAGGCCGTCTGACAAATGTGCTACTAAACCCCTCAATGGTACAGAGTTAAATGCTAGAAAGTTCGTTTATAATAGATAATGCTATAATGAAATTTGATAGCATAATTCCAATTACTACTCTGATGGATCATTAGTTAAAGTGAAATTTTGTAATGTATTAGGGCATTCCATTTGTAAGTTGATCTGGCCCTTTGTGTGTATGTATATATATGTAGGTATGTAACTATGTATGTAGGTTGTGATTGGACAACCATTGTGTCTATTCAGGATTTGAAGGTTTAAAATGGCCAACTAACATTAGGGTCATCAAAGAAAACAGGGAGAAATTAATTTTGCAAGGAATTCATACTATTACTGTGAGTTGTGATCTTTAATTATGATCTAACTAACAATGATCAATTTGCATTCGAGGATGACACAAAAAAGCACAATGGAGCTACCCAGTGTCTGTTTGTTTTTAAAAGGCACTCATAATTTGAAATTTTGAATGTCAAAATGTTATTCAAAGCTTCATTTCTTATAGTGGAAGGTTTAAGTATGGAAAAGGTAAAGTTCAAATATAAAGTAATGTTTTTCCCAACATATAACTGAAAACAAATGGTGTGATATTTTTTGACATCTCAAAAGCAGATGTTTCAGTACCTGAGATAAGAGTCAATTTAAATATAGATAGAGAGCCATCAAGGAAAAATAATACTTTTAATAAATTTTCCGGTTTTGAACTGCAAGCCAAAGTGTTGTTTAATTAGGATTTTGGAAATAGGTTTTCTTGCTTTTCAAGTCCAAACCGAAATCTTTTAAATGGTAATGCATTGGTGCTATTCTTTTTTCTTCTTTGCTCCTTTCTGCAATAATACCATTTTCAAGCTGTTCATTGGCATGATAAAATTGTAAATCATGGGTGGGTGCTTCGATTTATATGAAGACTGAATGAAACAATAATTTCAAGTGGACATCATATACCCTCTCGGTGTTTCAGTCTGGATTGCCTTCGCCTTACAAAGTACTGTATCATTTGTGGTTTATGAGAAATCTCCACTAAGTGCAAAGAAATAATGCAATGAAGCTGTTGGTAATAGTTGGCATCATGGTTTTAAAAGCATTGACTTTTTATGATGTCAATTTTAGTTCACACAGTTGCATAATAGTACATGGGTCATGAATAATGTATCAGAATGTATAAATGGTGCAATCATATGTGGAATCTGAAATATGTGTATCTGACGGCTTGTCATTTGTGTATATTTTCAATTCGGTATCTGTAGGGCTTGTACATCCGGTAACCTGATTTTTATGTAGTCTTGACAAACAATGCTTGGATTTACTTTAAGAAACTTCTTGACTTCAAGATCTGTTATATGGAAATTAAAGTTTTGTAGGACTAATTCATACTGAAAACAAAAATGTTAATTGTGCAGAAATTCTTTGAAGTATGAGTATTGAGTTGCTCCTCCCCTACTTTATTGGTGAAATGCAATGACTTATGTGTTTATTTGGAGTTGGAACTAGAATCACCTTACCAGACTCAGACACATGCAGCTATGCTTTCATTTTGAAATATGAATTAGTGTTCTGTATTTTCTTTTCTGAAATTGTGAATCACATTATTTTTGTTATCATACTCGAGTGACAGGGAGTGCGCTTGCGGCTTGTGGGAGTTTGTGATAGTAAATCATTAGTTGTTGCCTCAGATGTGTTCACGATGGATTTAGATGATGCCTTTCTTGCAGAAGTTTGCCGGGTTAAGTTGAATGGCTCTTCTTTGCTGACCCTTAGTAATTTTGGTAATTCCGTTATTTATTGTTATATTGACAAGGACGAAATAGGATTTTTATTTTTTATATTTTTCTTCATTCATAACTACACAAATCTATTTATGCATATTTTCTTTTTCTGCTCTGTTCTTAGACTCTTTTGTAAATGTCTTAGATGTTTTGTTTCACAAAATATGATGTTGTCATTTCGTATTTTTATAATACAAGAAAATTGAAAAAAGAAAAAAAAGCTCAAACTATGGGGATGAACAATTGAAGTCACTCGATATGCTTATGCTTCTTTTTCACTTGTTTTTCTTTTTATGCTTACAGGTCAATGTGAAGTATTTTCGAACACTGAATCTATGGAAAAAGTCACTGAAATTGCAGCTCGTTTGGGTAAATCAACAGGTATATACTGGTCTTATCAAGCTTTTGGACAGAATCTTGTAGAGTAGTTAAAGGGTCATTACCTAGTGTGGCCCCCTTCAATTGAGGTTGTTGGTAGGGTTGGACTGGATACAACCTAACCTCGGCTGCTCTCAGGATTTGAACTTGCATTCTCACGCTTGACAACCCGAGCATTTTATGAGTGCACTAAGCAATGGCCCCTAAATGGATATTCTTTCAGCACGTGATCACATATAAAATTCATGCAACTTGAACTAAAGGTCTGTGTATGGTCACGGTTTCAGCATCATATCATTTCATCAGTAGCATGTTTTGTGTTTATTGCAGCAGGTTTAGCACTTGTTGATTGTTCTGCCAGTTCTGAGACTACTGGAGTAATAAGAAAGGTGATAGATTTGGGTTGCTGTGTCGTGCTAGCCAATAAGAAACCTCTTACTTCGTCAATGGTAACCAAATCTTCATGTTTTCTTTCCTGTGGTTGGTAATTGAAAACATCTTATTCTTTCTACTGGTGATGAAGGGAATAATATTATATATTTGTTGTTTGATCGCCTCTGTCCTGTATCCATGTTCCATTTGGCATAATGAAGAGGGTTTATATGTTAAAATTCTGTCATCTGTTTCTATGTCTGCCATTCAGAGATCCCATCACACATTAGCTGTCCTTAAAAAAATCTCACTTTGGCTTGCAGGAAGATTATGACAAATTGGTCTCACACCCACGCCGCATTCGACATGAATCAACTGTAAGTGCCTTTACACCTATGGGAAGTAGGCAGTAAAAAATTTCTTAGTGTCCATAACAAGCAGATTAGTTTTGAGACTTGGGGATAAAAGCTGAAATTTGATAAGATTTATAGAGTTTCCTCCATGTTAGTTTAGATCTACCAGCCTGTTATGCTTTCTGGTCAATTGACGTGAAGACGATGGCCTGTGCAACAGTAGCAATTGGCCAATCATAAATACTTTCCTTTTTAGTAAGTGTTTGCCTTTTGTAAAAGTGTTGATGGGTATTTTAATGTACAAAAATAATAAAATTTAGCTGTTAAGGCTTATATATGTCTAAATGGTTGTAGTTGATTATTTGTTTTCATGGAGAAAAAGGCGGGCCACTTGTCCTTTTACTTTAAAAAAAAAAAAAAATCGAAGTTTCTTTCAGTTTCCTTTAGTAGAAGCCTGCCTGCATTGATGTGATAAAGCTTATTATAGTCTTAATATCACATGCCATGCTAACTGGAACAACATATTTAAGTTCATCTTATTCAGTATATAGGTATCTCTGCAGTAGAAGTGCTAAGCATTTTCCATAAAGCCGAGTTAACTACTTCTATTTTTTATTTAATTTCTTTCATAGGTTGGTGCCGGTCTTCCTGTCATAGCATCCTTAAATCGCATGCTTTCTTCTGGAGACCCAATCCATCGTCTTATTGGGAGCTTGAGTGGTATTATTCCCCCCCCCCCCCCCCCCCCTTCCCTCCTCTCTCTTTGAAAGTTCAAGCAAAAGCGCACACACACTCACAATATTGCCCCTACTAGGGCTCAAACACTCAACCTCCCCTTTGGAAAGGAGGGATCATACCATCTGGGTTAATGCCCATTGGTAAATTGAGATTTGAATAATTTAGTGGTATTAAATTTTAACTCATTTCATTTTGTAGTTTTAAGGTTTAAAGCAAGTTTATTTCTTCCTTATAATTGCATATATATGTGTATATTTTAGACCATTTGTGCTTGCAATCGTGATTTTGATATTTGTCTCATTTGGTTATATCTCTAATAGGTACACTGGGTTATGTAATGAGCGAGGTTGAAGATGGAAAGCCTTTCAGCCAAGTTGTTAAAGCTGCTAAAGCCCTTGGTTACACTGAACCAGGTCAAGTAAACTGAGCCCTATAGTTGCAATAAGTTTCATTCCCGAACAATTGTTTTAAGTCTGTTTTGTCTATTTATATTTCCGGATGCAAATAAAATTTTCAATTTATGTTTGTGTGCTTGGTTATCAAGTTCCCCACTTTCAATTATGATATGCCTTTTATTTATTTTTTATAAGTAAGATTTTTTTCGTAGTTTTTAAGTAAGATTTCATTAAAAGGCGCTCAAGAGGGGAGCGCTCCCAAGAGAATACACAAAAAAAGCCAAACTATAATTTCAAGCTATCAACAAAATCCACAAGATCTGCCACAGATTTACATTTTGCCCATTAACCCAAAAGAATAAAGAACTCAAAACATAGAATTTGAGAGACCAAATAGAGTCTCCTCTACATGAAAGGATCTCCTATTTCTCTCAAGCTACAAGTCCCACCATAAACAAAGGGGAGTTGCCCTACAAGGATCTCTTGCCCCACTATCCACTATGCAACCTCTCCAAGCCTCAATCAAGTCCACCATAGAATCGGGGGACACCGAAACAGACCGAATGCAGCCAAAAACAAAAACCAAACATCCCTCGCCACTGGAAGATGAAGAAGGCGATTCACTGACTCCTCTGCCTTTTTGCACATGCAACACTAATTCATCACAATCTAACGCTTCCTTCTAAGTTTGTCTAAGATGAGGATCCTCCCAAGAGCAGTTGACCAAGGGAAGAAAGCCACCTTTAGAGGGGCTTTTGATCTCCAGATGGCCTTCCAAGGAAAGGAGGGCCCCTGAATCTCAAACAAAACGAACTGTAAAAGTCTCAAAGACCCATCCAAACCATCTCATCCGTCTCCTCCCCCTCCACCATCTGACTATAAGCAGTGCTAAGAACTTTGCTACCATCACAAGCTCCCAGTCATGGTACTCTCTCCAAAATTGCACATCCTAAGTCATCCTCCCACCATGAAGGTGATAATAGTTGGCAACCCAAGCATTTCTGTCTGTTGTGATCCTGAAAATCCGTGGAAACCTGTGGGCCATAACACTATTTCCGCACCAGAGATCCTCCCAGAATTTGACATAGATTACAATTTCGCCCATGAACCTAAAAGAATAAAGAAGACAATATATTGTATTTGAGAGTCCAAATAGGAGACTCCTCACCATCAAAGGATCTCCTATTTCTCTCGCGCCACAGACCCTAAGCTCTCTACCTTTTGTTGGGGTTGGGGGAGAGATTTTTCCTCCATTGAGGATATTGTGGACTTTTTGGGCTCCTTGAGATCATAGTTTCAGTTTTTTGTATAGCTTGGGACGCATTCCCCTTTTGAACGCCTTCTAATACATTTTACTTATCAAAAAAAAAAAATGTATACATTTTAATTGGGTGAACTTGTACATGGATATATTTTCCATATGTGAAATCACTGACAGGTAGTATTGTAGTGGGATTGCCATAGGTTTGTAGTAGGGTCGTGTCTTAGGATCGCTCATGTATTTTGTAACTTTTTTTTTTTTTTTCCTTCCATTTCTACGTTTTGTGCTACATATAAATTTTAATTGGATTGTAGTCAAGTCATGTCTTAGGATTGTTCATTTATTTAAAAACTCTGATAATTTGTTTGTTTCTTCATGGTACTTGAAATTATTTGTACATTGGACTGCTTTGCCTTTTGTCAAAAGTGTTGAATGCTTTGTCATATGTGATTGGTATTTTTTGGTGGTAAGATAATTACACATTATTGTTCCTATGTTGAAGAATTATATGTACTTTTAAAACTGAATTTTTGGTTATTTTTTGTTTAAAAATTTTGTTCACCATTTATCTTCTGTCGAATCTGTCCCATTGTTTGCCATTTTACACTGATAGCTAATGCAACCTCCTATTTCGGAGCATTGGAACTGGTTTTATAAGGGTAAGGGTCATAGTAACCGTGACTCGGATGAAGTTTTACATTTTGTTTCTTTAAATATAAAATAATAATGGTGGTGCATTTGGAAGGAGAGAAATAGCAGAATGTTCGAAGGGAAAGAGTCGCCCACGGCAATGGTCTAATTTTACATTCTTCGTTCTCTTTTCAATTATGTGAAGGGGAGCTTTTGTTCTTCTTCTGATGATTTAATTACTTTCTTGGATTCTTTGGGGCCTTAGTCCCGGTTCCACTTTTGTAATTGGGACGCGTGCCCCTTTTGAACGCCTTTTTTAATGTTATTTTTACTTATCAAAAAAAAAAAATATAAAATACATCGATTATTGATACTTATAACGGGCTATGTAAATTGTGTGTCATTCATAAATTCCGACTCTATGATGGAATCAAAGATTGAAGACCATATTTTAGTTTATAAGGGATGTCCTTTGGGAACTTAATTATTCTTTTTACATTTGATATATGAATTCCCCTGCAAATCCATTGGTGGATATAGGGTCATTAGAGGAATGGCAGCCATAATCACTTCCTATAATAACCTATTAAAAGGATTCCAATCTTGTTAGAACCAGAGCTGTTTACATTCAATGGGTTGTTATCATGGTTCTCATTTTCTGCAACAGCCCCCCATGTTGAAGATGGAATTGTACCTTCGAAGTTGTGTAGGAAACCATAGATTCATTTAAAGGTATTGAAAACATGCCTTAAGTCAATGGGTTGGTTTTTCTTTTTTGTTATTATACAGGATTTCTCAAGAATATGAATGAAGTCTTATATATTTTATTTCATATATATTGAAACAGATCCACGTGACGATCTCAGCGGGATGGATGTGGCAAGAAAGGTTTGTATATGGATTAATTTTATTTGTGCTCGAATTTTATTTTTATTTTTTCCTAGTTGATACCCACCCAAAAAATGACCCAGTTTATCGCTAAATAATTCTAGTTTATCAACCAGCCTCATAAAAGTGGAATGACTACTACGGACCACTTCCCTGGCAGCATTCCATCTAGATGATCCTCTTTGGATTCACTAGCATAAAACCCATGAAGAAGATCAAGGGAACTGTCCCAACTCCCATCCCTGGATCTCCTAAACCTCAAACACAACACTACAACGATCCATGATAAATGAAATAACAGGGTTCCTTTATCAACTATTATCTGAAAACAGATAGGGAATGTATACTTCAAGAACACCTTCCGCATAGTCCTTCTCCACCACAAAGAAGGACAGAGCATGAAGTCCCGTCCAATCCTTCATGGTACTCTTGCCGACGCCATCCTACAACAGCCCCACTTCACGATGCCAAGCACCCTGAGAATACCCCATTCTTTTCTTTGGCCGAAGAGTCTCCTTTTCTAAAGTGAATTTCTGTCGACCACTTCCCAAACAAATACTGATTGAAAATTCTCTACTTTTTAATGTGGAACCTTCCCTCTAATGAGAGAGCACACTCTTTCGGTCTTTCCCACCCTATTAAGTAAACTTACTGATGAATGGATGGTAAAAAGAAAATGAAGTATTTAGGAAGGGTAGACAAAGTGTTCTTAGTAATGGTAAATCTACCCCCATTTGATAGATACTATATATATATATATATTTCCGATTCGCAAGTAAAACCTTTCAAAGAATTATATCCTACATTGCTTTGGTTTTGACATAAGATCTGAGAGGAAGCCCTAAATACACAATGGAACACTGAAAATTTTAATAATGTTTGTGTCTGCCATGTGTCCGATGCCATGTTTAGGACACTCCTGAACATGTCTCTGATGTGCGCTGACCACCCCAAAAAAAGGTGCTGTTTCGGTCACGCAGGAACAGCAAGTTTCCACAAACCCCACCCTAACGTACTTCTTTGCCATAAAATACTTGCCAGATGGCCAAACCAGAACTCGAGTCCAGTAAGAGTTTCCGTGGCTCTGCCTTCCAGTGTCATCATCCACACAATGATGCCTCCATTCCTATCCCCAGCTCGTTACACCCCGGGACATCATAGTTGAAGAGGAAAGCCTATCAATATTACTATTTCCTTCGGACTTGCTAGTGGCTTGTAATGGTTCCTTTGGTGCCCACCAATCTAAGAAGAGGGGTTCACCCTTAATCGCTCAATCCTTAGCTTCAAGAATAATTTTTGTCGTGTGAACCACCAGACATCACCAGCAACCTTCCAACTCTGATCAACCTGCCTCGATCTTATCATCTATGCACCAGGTACTGTACAGGTCCTCCTTTCCAATCAAACATTCTTTAAGTAATTCAGCCTATTTCTACAAGAACTGAAGTTTACCAACAGCTTGCCACCACTGTTCTTCAAATACCTAATGATCTTTACAGGTTTTAATGACTACACTTCGATTGCTGCAACCTGCAATGAAGTCTCTGCTGATTGGTATTTCCTGTTTAGATACCCACCATCATTCCAAAAACCCTTGCTATGTCTTCTTATTGCATTTGGTTAATTATAAGTAAAAGCATGCAGTGTCACCAATTTTTGGTTTGGCGGTATTCTTGCCTATAAAGAAATATGAGGATTATCAGTTCCAGTTTACAAGGACTTATGTTTCATATAATTTGTCTTCTTGAGTACAGAGTAAAGTTTGTCGTGGCAGAGACGCGGCCGGAGTCCACTGCTCCGACCAGTCACCGGAGTCATTAACTCCGGTGAAATCCTCTGTCATTTTTCTTTTTGTTTCCCCTTTCTCTGTTGGCTGTGTGTTTTCGGTTTCTGTTGCGTGGATCTGCTAATGAAAGTGCTGGAGAGTCAGAAGCAGTCTTATTTGGAGGTTGCTCGTTTACCTCGTTTGGACCTAAGAGGAGAGGTGGAACGGATTCCTTCCTCGAGGGATCATGTGTTCAGAGTGGACACTCGCAGTTCTTCCTCTCGAGAACGTGTTCTTAGGGCTTGTCTGGTTGGGAGATTTGACAGAGAGGTGGGGTCTTTGGAGAACATTGAAGATTGGGCTACGAAGACTTGGTTGATTTCGGGAGGAGTTAGGGTTAATTCTTTGCCGGACGGACTTCTGTTGTTCCGGTTCCCGTCGATGTTGGAGGCCCATAAGGTGCTGGATTGGGGCAAGAAATCTTGGGGTGAGGCTCAACTCCTTATTGATCCCTGGTACTTTAGGGTTGGGTGTTCTGGTTTGAGATTGAGGCACAATTTCCGGCGAGTCATTCTGTATGGTTTGCCGCTGCACCTTTGGTGTCAGAAGCTCTTCGTCGCCATTGGTGACGCATGTGGCGGGTTTAGAGATGTGGAGGCCTTCGAAATGAGTGACACGGAAAGAATTGTGATCACTGTGGCTGGGGGTGGTGTGATTCCGGCGAGTGTGGTTGTGGAGGATGGAAGATGGGCGTTCAGAATTTCGCTATCTGAAGAGATTGATCCGATAATGATCCCGCTGACTGGGACATGTTCCGGAGAAGGTGATTTGGGCTCACCGGAGGCGTTGGCTTGCATCTCTCGTTCGGTTTACAGTCATGGAGGTGGGGATGGATCTAAGCCGGATTTCCAACAGATGGAGGTGCAGAGTAACCGGATCTAAGGTCAGGGACGTGTGAACAGCCACGCGCCTAAGGCAAGTGGAAATGGGAAGGCTTCGTCTGGGACACGTGGTTGGAGGAGAAAGGATAACCGTTTTGAGTGGATAACAGCTACCCTTCCTCGTGCCGAGTCACGTGCTTCTCTTGATTTTTTAAATTCAACTTCTTTTGGGCCGGATGGTGTTGGGCCTAGATTTCGTAGGACACATGCAGCGGGATCAAAAGCCACTGGGAAGGATTCTAATGCGTGGGGTGGGCCTAGGTTATCCAATGGGCCGAGGTGGTTCATCAAGTCCGTTAAACGGGATGGACGATCTAAGCAATCTGGGCCTCTCTTTTCCTCTGGACCGGTTCAGGTGAAGACAAGAGTGGATAAAAGAAGGTTGGTTAAATGGGGCCCAAACAACCATCTCTCAATTTCCTTTCACAGTGGGCAGCCCATCACATCCTTAGAAGCAGGTCAAAGCCATGGCATTCCAGAACTTGACTTGGTTACGTCACAGAGAGTTTCGACCTCACGTGTTTGGTCGAGGAAGGAGAAGGCGAATTGGGTGAAGGTGAGTTCGAAGGTGTCAAAAGGGGCTGGGGCTAGCTCAAAGAACTTCCGGCATGGGTCGTGCTGTCAGAATCGACTCTTGGGTAACAGATTTGAAATTCTTCAATCTGGATTTTTGGGAGATGACGAGAAAGGCGAATGTGTCTCTTTTAAGAAGGATGTTACATCTCGGAGTTTGCCGATTATTCCCAGTAAGAAATGGACTAGGAAGGACAAACAGAAATGGGTGGCCCGTAAGGTGTCCTATTCGTGCCCAGGTATGTCGAGTTCCTTTCATGCTCGGAAATCTGCATCTTCTTCTATTTCTGCTTCTACTCCCTCTTGCGAGTTGAATAGTAAAGGGGGTAAGATTGTTGATGGGAGGCATCATGTGCTTTCACCTGTTGTTGAGGCTGACTTGGTGGAAGGGTTGATCTCTACGGTTGGCTCGGAGTTTGGGACTGTTGGGCCGTCAGAAAGGGATGGGATGGTTTGCTTGTCTGGTGACAGGGAGGTGGATAGACACTCTGTAGGGATCGCTGAGACTTGTTCAGAATTTTCCTCAGCCTCTAGGTTTGATTCTTCAGGGGAGGAGATGGGTAGGGTGGCTAAGCTTCGTTTGGGTGGATCGGAAGGGGTGTGTTCTTCTTTTAAGGGTGATCCAGTGGCTTGTCTGAAGGATCCTGTGCCTGATGTGGTGACTGTTTGTGTGGGTAAAGATATCCGCATTTCCCTCAGCGAGGAATCAGCTTCTCTTTTGGTGAAGGAGTTGCAGAAGCACAAATTTTCGATCGATGACCATTCTGTTGATTGTAACCCGGTCCCAGTCACACAGAGTGATGTGTTGGATTTTAGAGAGGACTGGTTATCATCTGTTGATGAAGCTGTGGAGGCCAAGGGAGGTATGGCTGATGGGAGCAGAATGGATCAGGGGAGTTCTCTGGATATGATTTTGTGGGAGGAGGAGGGTTTTGCTAATTTGGGGGTGGTGGACCCTTTGGCTGTAGTTCATCCAGAGGAGATGGGCAGCAAGGTGTGTAGGCAGGAAGGTGAGGACACTGGATTGGATTGGGTTAAGGCTAACATTGGGGCTACTTGTGATCTTTTGGGTGTCTCATGCAAAGGAAAGCGTGATCAAGCCTTAGCAATCCTTCAGGCCACGGCAAAGGGGAGAGAAGGGGAGATGATTCAATTTTCCAGAAGGAGGAGTAGGAAGAAGAAGAACCTGACTCCGGGAAAATGGGGAAAGGGAGCTTAGAAATCTGTGCTGTGATGTGAATTATGATAGGGTGATTGGGGGGGAGAAGGAGAGGGGTAATGCTAAGGGAGGAGGGAGGGGTAGGGGGGTGAAGGGGATGATTGTTTCCTCATGAAGTTTCGAATTTTATCTTGGAATGTCCGCGGTCTGAACGATCCGGGCAAGCGCAGGGTGGTGAAGATGGCAGTGAGGAAATGGGGGGTGCACTTGGTGTGTCTTCAAGAAACAAAGATTGATTCTTTGTCTGATCGGGTGGTGAAAAGTCTGTGGGGCAACTGCTTTGTTGAATGGGAGGCGTTGGATGCTGTTGGGACTTCAGGAGGTGTTCTTATTATGTGGGATAGGAGATGGCTAACTAAAGTTGATGTTTGCAGAGGGAGATTTTCTTTATCTTGTGCTTTTGTGATGGAGGATGGCTTCACTTGGGGCTTTTCTGGGGTGTATGGGTCGGTTGATGATGTTGAGAGGGATGGTTTGTGGGAGGAGTTGAGTGGGGTGAAGGGGAGGTGGTCTCTTCCTTGGTGTATGGCAGGAGACTTTAATGTGGTTAGATCCCCGGCGGAGAGGTCTACAGTTGGCCCGTGGACCCAGGCTATGATGCACTTTTCTGATTTTATTGATGGCCACCAGCTTATTGATCTCCCTCTTGAGGGAGCTTCCTTTACTTGGTCCAGTGGAAGGGAAGTTCCAACTTTCTCTCGCATTGATAGATTTTTGATTTCAGGTGAATGGGAGGAGAAATTCCCGGATGTTGTTCAGGCAGTTTTGGCTAGGGTGACGTCGGATCACATTCCCTTGGTTATGGACTGTGGAGGTTTGAGATCTCGCAGTACTCCTTTCAGATTTGAGAACATGTGGCTTCGCGCGGATAACTTCCAGGAATTTGTCCATTCTTGGTGGGAGGAGAATCTGGTGGTGGGTACATCGAGCCATATTCTTACCGGAAAGCTTCGAATCCTGAAAACAAATCTTAAAAGGTGGAATAAGGAGGTGTTTGGGAGCTTGGTGTGGAGGAAGAATAGGGCTTTGGTTGATATTGCGGAGATTGATCGATTGGAAGGGGAGGGTGCTATTGCGGAATCTCAACGCAGTAGAAGAACTGCTTGTCAGGCAGAATGTGTGGAGATTGCTCTGTTGGAGGAAATCTCGTGGCGTCAGAAATCTCGGGCATTATGGCTCAAAGAGGGGATCGTAATACGAAGTTTTTTCACAGAACTGCTAATGCTAATAGAAGGAGCAATCATATTGGGCGGATGTGTGTGGATGGTGCAGTTTTGTCTTCGGAGGAGGAGGTGCGAAGTGCTATTGTCTCTTTCTATCAAAGACTTTATTCTGAGCCTCTTCGTTGGAGACCTCGTCTTGATGGTCTTCACTTCGATTCTATTTCTGCCTTGGAGAGAGATGGGCTGGAAAATCCTTTTTCGGAGGAGGAAGTGCTGAAGGCTTTAAAGAGTTGCAATGGTGATAAGGCTCCAGGCCCTGATGGTTTCACGATGAGATTTTTGTTGGAAAGCTGGGAGGTGGTCCGGTACGAGATTATGGGCACTTTTCATGAGTTCCATTCCACGGGGCGATTTGAGAAATCGCTTAACGCATCTTTTATTGCCCTTATTCCTAAAAAGGGTGGTGCTTTTAATATCAAGGATTTTAGACCCATTAGTCTGATCGGGTGCATTTACAAGATCATTGCAAAAGTCCTTGCCTTTAGATTGAGGGAGGTCCTGGATGGAGTTATCTCTGAGTCTCAGAATGCTTTCGTTGGGGGTAGACAGATTCTGGATTCCGCTCTTATTGCTAGCGAATGTGTGGATTCTAGACTTCGTAGTGGGACTCCTGGTGTTCTGTGCAAGCTGGATATTGAGAAAGCCTATGATCATGTTTGCTGGAATTTCCTGTTCTATCTGTTGGAGAGGATGGGTTTTGGTGAGAGATGGAGGAAGTGGATTGTTTCTTGTATTTCCACTGTCAGGTTTTCGGTGTTGGTGAATGGCTCTCCTTCGGGGTTCTTTGGCAGTTCTCGTGGGTTGAGACAGGGGGATCCTCTCACCTTTTCTTTTTATTATTGTTATGGAGGCCCTTAGCAGGCTGATGAGAAGGGCGGTGGATTTGGGTTTTCTTAGGGGTTTCAAGATTGGCCCTGAATCAGTTCAGCAGTTGGAGATCTCTCATTTACTTTTTGCGGATGACACTATTGTTTTTTGTGAGGCTGATATATCCCAGTTGAGGTACCTGAGATGTGTTTTGGTTTGTTTCCAGGCTGTTTCTGGTTTGAAAGTTAACGTGGGAAAGAGTGTGATTGTTCCTGTGGGGGAGGTTCAGGAGGTGGACACTCTGGCTGCTGTTCTAGGATGTGGGACGCAACGCTTTCCCATCTCGTACTTGGGTTTGCTACTTGGGGACTCGGCTAGGAGGGTGGGAAGTTGGAACCCGGTGATTGAGCGGGTCGAGAGAAGATTAGCGGGTTGGAAAAAACAATATCTGTCAAAGGGCGGTAAAGTTACGTTAGTGAAGAGCACTTTGTCAAGCCTTCCAACGTACTTTCTTTCGCTTTTTCGTATTCCAGCCTCTATTGTTGGAAGACTAGAAATGCTCCAACGTAATTTCCTTTGGGGGGGTCACGGAGAAGAGTTCAAGTATCATCTTGTCAAATGGGAACAGGTTTGCAGGCCTATTCGTTTGGGAGGGCTTGGAATTAGGAGATTGGCCCTTTTCAATTGTGCTCTTCTTGGTAAGTGGCTTTGGAGATTTGGTAAGGAAAGACATAGATTATGGAGAAGGGTTATCTCATGTCGCTTTGGGGAGGAGAGAGGAGGGTGGTCAGTTAGACCAGTCAGGTCTGTTAGCGGAGTGGGGGTGTGGAGGGCCATTGGTAAGGGGTGGGATGCCTTTTCCAAACATATTAGATTCATAGTTCGGGATGGAAGAATTGTCCGGTTTTGGGAGGATCCATGGTGTGATGATAGGCCTTTGGCCCTATTGTTTCCCAGGCTTTTCAGGATTGCTGTTGACAAACATGCTATGGTTGTTGACTACTATCGCCTTGATAGTGGAAGGTTGTCTTGGGATGTGCGTTTCCGGCGAGCTTTTCAGGATTGGGAGCTGGATGATGTCACTGGGTTTTTGGCTCTCCTTTACGGACAGGAGGTGGAGGGGTATGGGCCAGATTCCTTGATTTGGGTGCCTTCTTTTCAGGGGATGTTCCAGGTCCGGTCTTTTTTTGTGTGCCTTTCTGGTTTTCATGGTACCTCATTCCCATGGAAGACGGTGTGGAGGTCTAAGGCGCCTCTTAGGGTGGCTTTTTTTGTGTGGACTGCAGCTTGGAGTAAGATTTTGACTTTGGACAATTTGAGGAAGCGAAGGCATATCATTGTTAATAGGTGTTGTCTTTGCAAGATTAATGGGGAGTCGGTGGATCATCTTTTGTTGCACTGTCCTGTGGCTCATGATTGTTGGAGTTTGATGTTTGGCCTGTTTGGTATTCATTGGGTCATACCTCGGTCATCTTGGGAGTTGTTAGATATGTGGAGGGGCCAATGAGTGGGGGCTCAGGTCAGAGTTTTTTGGAGGGTGATCCCTTTTTGTATTTGGTGGAGCCTTTGGAGAGAGCGTAATGGAAGATCTTTTGAGGGAAAGGAATCCTCCATTGGGGTGTTAAAATTTTCTATCATTTGTAATTTGTTTTGTTGGGGTCAGGGGAGAGACTACTCCTCTCTTGAGGAGATTGTTGATTTTATGAGCTCTTTGAATTCATAGGCTCCGTTTTGTCTTTGTATAGTTTGGGACGCGTTCCCCTTTTGAACGCTTTTAATACAATTTACTTATCAAAAAAAATCAGCTCAGTTGTATTCCAGAGAACTAAATCTGCAAAGTGGGTCTCTCATGACTTGTATAGAATTGTCTAACTGGTATAATGCTTAAGTTATAAGTTTAAACTCTTGCATCATGTTATTATCTGGTTGATTGCACCCTCTAGCCTCAAAACCATTTCGAATTGATCAGATTATCATCCAGTGGTTTCATGAGTTCACTCTCCTGATGAAACTTCTAATTCGTTGGAATAGATTACTGTAAACCTGAAGCTTGATGCATAAATTGTTAGAAATTCTTACAATAGATAAATTGATGGCATCTATTGATTGCTGGTGTTTTCTGTATTTGAATACAGGCATTGATCCTTTCTCGACTTCTTGGGCGGCGCATTAACTTGGACCGCATTAATGTTAGTGCAGGGAATATAAATCTATAAGTCTTCTCACTTATAATTCAAGCACGATCAGATTCAGATAATGCAATTGGTACTTTGATCTTGTAGATTGAAAGCTTGTATCCTAAAGAAATGGCACCTAATGTCATACCTGTGGAAGACTTTTTGTTAAATGGCCTTCCATTGCTTGATAAAGGCATCCAAGAGAGGGTTCAGAAGGCTTCTTCAAATGGGAATGTGCTCCGTTATGTTTGTGTGATTGAGGAGTCAAGGTACTTTTTCATTTTATTTTTATTCTAGCCTTGGGAGGTTGATACATGGTAGGACTTCCTTTTTTGTGACTCAGGAATATCAATTTTATTATTCTCTTCAAGACATAGTCTATAACAATCTGAAGAATCCTCATGAAAAGTTTTAGATAGAAATCTGAAGATTTCAATCCTCCAATTATTTTTGCAATTAAACAGTTTGTAATGACTTCATTATTTTTGTTAACAAACTGATTCCACAATTGACCAAGTGTTGATGAATGTTGAGAGGATAGGCTGGTGCCATATGTTGAGAATACATTTTTTTTAAGATAAAATGAGAATTGTCAAGATGGTTTAGCCATGTGCAATGGAAAATCAATAACTCTATTAGTAAGGAGAAGTGATGTGGTCCAACTCGAGGGGTATTGCTGAAGGAAGGGAAGACAAACTAATATGAGTTGAGATAGTTAGGAAACATATGATAGTATGTGACTTGACTGAGGTTGTGGGCCTAGATATAATTGAATGATAAAAGAATATTCATTTTTTTTTCTCTGAAATAGTTGGAAAGGTTTTGTTGAGTTGAATTGTTAAGTAAATGTGTTTTGAGCAATATCTTTATTACATTTTATATTGTTTTAGGTCTATGTTATATGGCTTAGATACGTGTGTTGGGTGTAGTTGTGTTAGAGTTAGTTATAGAGACTAAAATTTGCCTTTGCTTTGTTGGGTCCAAATGGTGGAAAAGTGGGTGAAAGGGACAGTAGAAATGAATGAGGCATTCCCAAGGAAGGGAAGGTGTCCCTCTTCCCTTCGGTTTGGTTAAGTGTAAAGGAGTAGAAGGGGATCACAATCCTTTGTTTGTTAAGAGGGAAGGAAGGAATGCTTTATATTTTTTTACCTTGTATAATTTGGAAAATATTGATGATGGGTAATAATGTCACTTTTCCCTCATTTTGAAACAATAATGTAACAAAGGGAACATGATATATTACATTGAATTATTGGATACATTTGTTAGATTCATACCCAGCCAATGAGTGTCGGACGCATATATCATGCTCATGTCCGAGTGTCCACATAGCGCAATTTTGAAGAGTCCATGTAACATAATTCATATTTTCTTAAAGGTTGATATTGGATTATTAATTTGTGATAATTTGTCCATATGTTATATTTCTTTTGAATTTTTTATTAATTGTATAATGCTTGTTTTTTGTTCAGATTTACATGATACATTAAAAAAATAACAAAAGAATTATAAAATTATTGTAGTGAAGAAATTATATAGCTCAGATTACTTGACTAATCCAATGCTAGTACCCAAGGTTGGATGCAAAAGGGGCAGGTTGGTGTCGGGTAGATAGCCAACTATAAATTATATCAAATTTTGAAGATAAATTTTCATTCTAGTTGAAAAAATAAAAATAATAAGAAAAAAAAATTAGAATAGCAATATGGAATATTGTGAGTTTAGGGAGAATTAATCTATGGGAGAGATGGTGGAAGTTTTTTGGACATATTGAGAATTTAGTCCACCTTGAGGGGAGCCTTATTGCGCCAAATGGCTTCCATGGGAAAGCAAATTCTCGGGCCATCTGAAATGGCTCTATATAGAATGAGTGCACATCGAACCTTCCTTGAGGGAAGAAAGCACCCACATTCGAGAGCAATAGCATCTCCCACCACCTTCTGACTATAATCAATTCCAAGAACCGTAAGACGTCATCCATCTTCCAGTCCTGAAAATGCCTCAAAAACCAGGCATCCCAAATCGTCTTCCTACTATTAAGCCGATAGCAGTCAACCACTAGGGTGTGCCTGGCCATAGCAATCCGGAAGAGTCTGGGAAAGGAACATGCCAACGACAACAGGTGACCACACCAGATATCCTCCCTAAAACAAGCCCCCCTACCATCCTTGACCCTGAATATAATATGTTTGGAAAGTTCGTCCCACTCCTTCCGAATGAACTTCAAGTTTTCAACACACCTCCACCAGGGATCCTCACCTCGCGATAGCACCAACCTTCCCTCTCCTCCCCGAATCTGCTAGCACTGACCCATCCTCCATAATCTGTGTCTATCCACACCAAACTGCCATAGCCACTTCCTCAAAAGAGCCTATTTAAACGACTTCAATCTCTAAATTCCCAAACCCCCAAACTGAATCGGTTGCAAACCTGCTCCCGGCAAACAAGATGGTACTTGAACTCCTCTCTCGTACCATTTCACAAGAAATTCCGCTGAAGCCTCTCAAGCCTCCCAACCACAGAAGCCAGAATCTGAAAAAGAGATAGGAAATAAGTAGGGAGACTCGACAGCGTGCTCTTTATTAGGGTAACCCTCCCACCCTTGAAAGGTATTACTTCTTCCACCCTACAAGGCTCCTCTTGAATCTATCAATCACTGGGTCCCACCCACATACTTTCCTTGAAGGAATCCCCAAAGGTAATCCCAAGGAAAAAATAGGGAAGGACCCTACTCCGCAACCAAGGATATCCGCAAGAGTAGAAATGTCTGCCACCTCCCCCATCGGAACGAGCACACTCTTCCAAACATTGACTTTCAGGTGAGAGACTACCTGAACCAAAGTCAAACACATCTCAAGTACCTTATCTAGGACGCCTCTGCATTGCAATGAGTCACAATATTAAATTACAGGAAAGTTTGACAAAATAACGATTAAGGAAAGAAATGTCTGCATCCATATAGCTAATGCCAGGAAAAATACTATATTGGCCATTACTTAATAAGACTGAGAAGTCTACAATCGATATGTTTTGACCACAGACTGAGAGAATATTATGGGACCGGAACCCTATGCTCTGATTCTGGAGTTAGCGTAAACCCCAAAATAGACCTAGAGAAAAAGGGAAGGGGGGGGGGGGGGGGGGGGTGGTTTGGTTGGAATAGATTTTGTCCAATTTAATTAACAATAACTATTTCTTAAACTCTAATAATTATATTTGAAATGCAACAATATGAATCAGTTAAATATAGAGAGTTGAAGTAAATTAACTATGGAACCACATAAGAACACACGTTTTTTATGTGAAAAATCCCATCTGGTAAAAACCATGGGGGCTATCCAAACAGATCAAATTCACAATGAGAAAGAGATAATACAACTAGGTTACCAGTTTTTTAAATCTTAAAAATATATAGTTACTTCCTGATACAGAATGATCCACCAAACACTCCACTTGAGTCTATCTGCTCAGTCAACGGATCCCCTCTTTACGAGATCCTGTTTTCCAATAAGTAATTTGATCTCCAATGACTAGTCGTCTGAGTTGCGTGTTCGTGGTATAGAGACACTCCAATGTTGAATTCTTTATATGACACAAGGATTATGACCTCAGAATAATAACTCACCATCGCAAGTGTAGATGATGAAAATGAAAATAAAATATGCTCTCTAAAAATATATGATCTATCTATATGTTTTCTTAATAATGTGTTTAGAGATCTCTCTGTATATCTGTTCGTGTTACGAGAGCCTAGAGGTGTCTATATAGTACTTGAGTCTAAAGGAATTACGTCAATCGATATGTCAATCAATCAACAAATTTTCAGACACTTCCATTCCAAATTCCCGAAGACATCCTTGTTCCACTGCTTAAGAGCTAATTTGAGAGTCCTTAACTTCTTTGTAATTGTGAAACTGGGCGATCCTGAAACAATAACTCCCTCCCACCAAGATCTGACTTTCCCTTGGAAATCTTCCGCTCGCAGTCAGATATTCTCAAATCTAAACGGGGATCTTTGAGAACATAAACTCCCACAATCCAAGACCAAAGGAACATGATCAGAGGTGACTCTTTCTAACACCGCCTGAACAACATCCGGGAATTTCTCTTCCCAATCCCCGGAAATTAAAAATCTGTCCAACCTTGAAAGAGTGATTGGATCCCTACCATTTGACCAAGTATAAGTTGCACCTTCCATTGGTAAATCAATAAGAAGATGCTCATCAATAAAATTAGAAAATTGATCCATTTCCAAAGATCTTCTTCCCCGTGTAGACCTCTTTGACGGGGACTTAACAGAATTGAAATCCCCTCTCAAGCACCAAGGGAGAGACTACAATCCTTGGACATGGCAAAGCTCCTCCAAAAAGATAGGTCGCTCATCATCAACAACCGGTCCATAGACTCCAGTAAAAACCCACTTGAAGTTGTCCTCTTCCATCGTTCGAGTTAACCATCTACTATCCCACATGACTAAGATCCCACCTGAAGAACCTATAGCATTCAAGGCCTCCCATTCCACAAACCTTCCTCCCCCCAAACTCTTAACCTCCCTGTCAGAAATGGATGCCAACTTGGTTTCTTGTAAGCAAACAAGCTGGGCACCCCACTTCCTTAAAGCTACCTTCACCACCCTTCTCTTTTTTGGATCATTAAGACTACGAACATTCCATGTAATGATTCGTAGCTTCATTGTAAACCAGATAAAATAATCTCCCCTCCACCCTTCCTGAGACTGCTGCTCCTGGTTCTTTCCCTTTCCTTCGCCACCATAGTTGTAAAGGCTTAAGGCGCACAAAAGCGCAAATGTCTCCTGGAGCTTGAGGCGCAAGGCGCAAGGCGAGGTGTGCGCCTGACTGAAGTAAGGCGCACGTTGAAAAAAAAAAAAAAAAACCCACCCAATAAAATATTAAAGATGCAATAGTATATATAAAGATGTAAAAGTCAACTAAATGAATTACTTAAGTTAAATATTCAACATAAAGATTGCAAAACCAAGTAAATCAAGTACTTGAGTTCAACAGTGAATAATCAAACATATTAAAACTAAAACAAACAAACACAAACATCGTATATGGGCTGCATAACATGTTCATACATTTATATACATTCACTTATTACTTGCATATACTATATGAGATTTATCTACTATATGTGATGTAATATATATGCATATATGGACTGCATGATACCATATACCAACTGATATGTATACTATAATTTATTCCAGCAGCACAGAATTGTATACTACAATTTATTCCAGCCGCAC